GAGTTACCGAATATTTTAAAAGAAGCAGAATTTGGAGAGAGTAAAATGAAATATTTAAAATATCAAATTGTTAATATTGTAAATATAAAATAATATTTATACTAAATAAACCACCTCTGGCGAAGAAACGCTGTATGGTGCAGAATAATAATAATAATCAGTACAAATTCATAGCATCAAGACGTACTATTGAAGAAAAAAATTACGCCAAAAAAGAACACTCCACATTGAGAAGAGAATACAAAAAGAGCGCACGTTTGGCATATAGAAACTACAAACTTGAAATGGTTAACCTTATCCACGAAGATCCACAGAAGTTTTTCGAATTCGTGAATGGTTCCAAAAAGACGAATGATGATCTTCCGAATGAAATGGTTCTTGGAGATAAGAAAAGTAGTAACAGAGGTGAGATAGCACAATATTTTGCAACGCATTTTGCCAAAGCGTATACTGAACCGGATTACAGCAAAAATGAGAATTATTCTGGAGATGATCCATTACTTAAGAATCTGTGTGCTAATTTTCCAACTATCAACATCACTGAGGAGTTGGTTACGGATACGATAAATAACCTTCCAAGCAACATGGTGTCAGGACCTGACGGAATACCAAATATTCTCATCAAAAAGTGTATGCCAACACTATTAAAACCCATCACACACATGCTAAAGCATTCGTTGGAGACTGGTGTTGTTCCTGAGATTTGGAGAAAATCATTTGTAAAACCAGTTCACAAAAGCGGTGTTAAAGCTAAAGTTGAAAACTATCGTGGCGTAGCTCTGCAGTGTGTAATACCGAAGTTGCTTGATTCCATCGTTGCTACAACCCAGCTGTAGCGTATTGGTTAGCGTGCTAGCGTTGCAAGCGTGGGGACACGGGTTCGATTCTCACTGATGCCGAAATCTTTTCTATTCAAAATATTGTTGGTTTTATCAATAATATTGTGAATTGAGAGACTTCGGCCCGAGAAAAGACCCGTGGAGTGCTCCGGGAGGCACTTTAAACCGTGGAACCCGTGTATTCAATAAAGAAGATGAGTAGCTTCGAATACACGTAAAAATGGGGTGTTTATTCGCTAGGTTGTTGTACGTGATAAATATATCCGATACATATACCGCAAAAAAAAACAATGTTCGATTACTGGTGAATATGTCGGTATATCAGAAATTGAAACATTCCTCCATTTGCAAAAACCAAAAGAAAGGATTAACACTTGGGTCTATTGGAGAATTCCGGTCGATTGGTTCCGAACATCAGTTCCACCCAGACTGGTTGATTGGGATAGATGTAAGGTACCACCCAAAAATTTCGAAAATAGATTCCAGGTGGTATGGTCTGAAGAACTGGAAAAATGCTGGGTACATTTGTGCAAAAGGTCATAAGACCTACGCATGGCTTTCTGAATTAAGAAAGAAAGCCGCCCACCCAATCCATACATACATCGTTGCTAAACACCTTACTTATCACATGGAGAATATTATTGATAACAGTCAACATGGATTTGTGAAGGGAAAATCTACAACTACAAATTTGGCTGAATTTACATCGTGTGCAATTTTAGGAATGAAAAACCAAATACAAACTGATGCAATTTACTTCGATATTGCGAAGGCCTTTGACTCGGTCAATATTGATTTACTAATACGCAAATTGGATATTATGGGACTGAATCAACAATTACTCAAGTGGATCAAATCGTATTTGTATGGTCGCCAACAGATTGTCAAATTGAATGATGACATGTCAAGTCCCATTGAAGTTACATCGGGAACTGGTCAGGGTTACCCGATTGGTGCTACATTGTTTCTGTTGTTCATCATTGATTTACCAAAACACATAAGAAACTCAATACTTCAGTCGTTTGCTGATGACACTCGCCTGTGGAAACAAATCAGACATTATGATGACTGTTTGGAATTACAAGCTGACTTGAATAGGCTTGTTGAATACTTTAACCGAAACAAGCTAAAGCTAAATGTATCTAAGACCAAATTTGTGTCTTTTCATCGTGGCCACCTGAAATTTAACTTCCATTGGCAACGAAAAAATCGATCGAGTTGACGTGATAAAGGATCTTGGGGTAATACTTGACCATAAATTGAATTTTAATGCACACATTGAGTATATTACAGCCAAGGCGAAATCACGTTTAGCATGGATTAAACGATTTGGATATGAATTTGATGATCTATGGACCATAAAGAAATTGTTTTTCACATTTGTATTGCCGATTGTGGAATATGTTTCCCAAATTTGGAATCCATACACCGCTGAAAAAATTGCAAGAGTTGAATCTATCCAGAAGCAGTTTTTATTGTTTGCACTACGCAAAATGAAATGGGCACACAGATTCAGGAAACCTCCCTACGAATGCCGACTGCTTGAATTACAAATGATTACGCTGGAAGAGCGGAGAAAGATAGCACAAATATCACTTGTCCACAATGTGATATGTGGAAAGACTTCATCGAAATACATTTTGAGCAGAATAAGTTTTAAAACACCGCGACATTGGACAAGAAACTCAGATTTCCTATCATTACCGATTCATCACAATAGCTATTCCAAATTTGAACCTATCAATTATATGTTGAGTACGTACAATGAATTTTATAAATACTTTGTTCCTATCAAACCGCCTAATTTACCAGATGAATATATTTAATTGATTTTAACACAAGTACAAATACTATCAAACATAGAGTAGCTGAATATTTTAAGAGAAACAGAATTTGGAGAGAATGAAGTCAATAAGAATGAATTATCCCATTGTAAATATTGTAGATATAAAAAAATAATTATATTTATGCTATATAAACCACCTCTGGCGAAGAATTTGTTATAAATATCATATTAATATATTTACAATATTTCTTTTATTTTCTCCACACTCTACTTCTTCTAAAAAATTCAGTTACTCTCTCTAATCTTCTCTGCGCAAATCGCGCACATAAAAAAGCAAATTTTATATAGAACTTTTTTTTTCCTATCATTTTTCGCGCTTTTCTCGGAACTGATAAGAGATAAGAGATAACTGTATTCAGCTTAGTTATAGAAGACCTCAAGTACTACAACTTTGCCGAAGACACTATGTTGTTATCTTTTATCAGTTGTGCGAAAACCATGAAGACCGCGGAGGCTAGACGGTACTACAACATACTCTACTTTAACGCCAACAGAATCATCAGAAAACATACTCGCCTTTTCAAAAATATAAATCGAAGAAAAAACATACTCCACTCTCAATCTCACCCATAGATGTATGTAATTCGTTTTATTTATTATAAATTAATAAGTTTTATTTGTCTTTGGAATAGTACTAGTATCACAATCATTCGTTTGATTTGGCTATATGATATTAAAGTATTTAAAAAATTCATTATATGTGATGAGCATGTAGTTGATCGGTTCAAACATTGAGTAGTTGCATATTCTAATGGGCAGTGACAGAAATTCAGTGTTTCGTGTTCGATGTCGTGGTGTTCTTAAGTTGATTTTCTCCATGATATGCTTCGACGATATTTGGCCACAGATAACATTGTGTATGGTTCCGCGGAAACCGTGAAAAACCGCGAGGACCCGCTAAAAACGAACATACTCGCTTTTAACCATTTTTAAGTCGACAGAAACTTGCTCTTCTCTTTCGTAACAAAGTCAATCAAACATACACTACTCTCAATCTCACCCATAGACATAATCCAAACTTTTCCGCTCCGCAGCAATTTAGTTTGCCTCCCGCTTAATGTTTAACCAAAATTTCAATGGACCCTTTTTTCCAGAGATTACTATGAGATATTTTTATTCATATGGGATAGAAATATCGCATAAAAATATCAGATATTTTTCATGCGTTGCGTTGTTGTAACGCTTCTGCAGTACAAAATTCATATTTTTCTTTGGGATCCAAGTCAAATTTGCATGAAGTCTGATATTTTTATGCGATATTTCTATCCCATATGAATAAAAATATCCCATAGTGATCTCTGCTTTTTTCATAGCATTTTTGACCCTAAAATATAACTATTTCGACCATTTTCCATACAAAAGTGTCATTTTCGAACAAAATTTCAAAAATTTCAAGAAATGTTGATTTCGGACCAATTTTATGGGCAAGTAGGTGTTCGGTTGTTCACATACTCCCATTATTTTTGCAAAAAAACATCAGTTTGCTTTGACCAAAACCCTAAAAAATAGCTTTCTGAGTGATTTTTTATACAAAAGTCTATTTTTCGAGGAAAATTTCAAGAAATGTCGATTTTGGACCAAATTAATGGCAAGTAGGTGTTTGGTTGTTTGAAAGCACCCATTATTTTTGCAAAAAACATCAGTCTACTTTGACCAAAACCCAAAAAAATGGCTTTCTGTATGATTTTTCATATAAAAGTCTATTTTTCGAGGAAAATTTCAAGAAATGTCGATTTTGGACCAAATTTATGGGCAAGTAGGTGTTCGGTTGTTCACAGACTCCCATTATTTTTGCAAAAAAATGGCAGTTTGCCTTGACCGAAACCCCGGAAAATGCCTTTTTCGGGTACTTCCCGTACAAAAGTGTCATTTTTCAAGGTTTTTCATGTCCTCAGTCGGAGGCTTATGGTACGAAATTGGTAAATCAGAATGGGCTCAAAATCAATCCGAAGCTTTGTCTCGACATGCCAAAACTTTTGGCTTTTACAGATCTCAATTATCTTGTCAACTTTTTGTGATAATCGGCGAACAAAAAGCTCGGACGCGGACGCGGACGCGAACGACGCCATACGCACATCGCTATTTTGCACATATTTCATAGTAGGGTAGATAGGTCTTGATCGATAGGATTTGATCCCATCTACATTGCCTAGTGTACAGATATGTGCTTTTTGAAGTTTGGCGTGACGTTATAGTGGTCCGAAAGAGGAGATGTCATGAAATGTTGGCTAGTAAAACCAATACTTTTCCTAACAAACAAGTTTGCGGAAAAGTAATAACTGATTATTTTAGAAGAAATAGAACTTGGAGAGACTAAAAGTACGAATACATTATAAATAAAAATTTTTTAATAATAAATATTGTAAATATATAACCAAATATTTATACGAAATAAACCACCTCTGGCGAAGAAACGCTGTATGGTGCAGAACAACAACAAAAAAAAAATTTGAAACGTGTTTTGTCAAGTGATATATCGTTATAATATCGCCAATTTGGCAGTTTTACGTGACAAAAGCGCCGACAATTGCAGCGTTCGATGTTAACATATTTCTGTCGATGCTATGAGCCGGAATCAAAACGATGTAGCACTTTGAAAACGAAACTTAACGTGTTTTCACTGAAAAATGTGCGATTTGCGGCGAAAAATTGGAAAAATCGAGTTATGTGGTCATTGGAAAGCATAAAGCAGTGTGTATTTTTGGCACATACCAAAGTAAAAAGTCCAATTTCATCATTCAATGATAAATCATATCACAATTTTAGCTACAAATGGCGGGAAAATTAGTTTTCAATCGGAAAATACGAATTTGGTACAATATATACTCTATTTAAGAAACTGACTAATTTCAACAAGAAACTTGCCAATATTATGGAATGAAAAGTTGACGAATGACGTCTCAGAGTCGTTCCAAGTCGAAACAAAGACATGTTCCAACAAAGGAATGGAGAAATAGAGCTTCATTCTATTTCCCAAAAAATCACGAAAAATCGAAAAAATTGAAAAATTCTGACGTAAAACGTCAACTGGTGCAAGCCAATCGTTAGCCAGCTATCTGTTTGAAATGAGTACATTCAAAGTATAATACTTTTTGATTTGAGTATTCTGATTCAAATCATACAAATTAGAAAAAATTAATATATTTCAATT